TAGATCCTTCCTGCTAGATGCTTATGTAACCTGTTCTTAAAAACCTGCAGTGAAAGGGATTCCACAATGAATGGGATTCCAAACCTCCTTAGGTAATGTTCCCAGTAATTTACTATCCTTCTCATTAGAAAGCTTTGTGTAACATCTAACCTAAATCATGGCTGCAAATTAAATCTTACTTTTTTTTCTTATCCCAGTGGAAAAAGAGAACAACAGATCATTATAGGTTTTATAGCAAATTTTGCATATTAGAAGACTTCTGTCACTCCTCCGCCTCCCCTCCACCCCCACACACACACTCTCTCTCCAGTCTTTTTTTTCTAGTGCAAACAAACCCACTTATTCTTGTTCATCTCCTCTGGACTTTGTTCAATGGATCGAAGTTTTTCTTAAAGTACAGTACTCAGAACTTGACACTGTATGCCAGATAAAACCCCATTATCTCTGAGTAGACTACCAGGGCTTCCTGTACTAGTATATTGAATGACACACTCGTACATGGCAGGAGGCGTGATTGTGGGATCCAGCAGCAAACCCAATCACACCTTATTGCCAGGGCAGGGGGAGCCCGGGATTGTGATCCCGGGCTCCCCCTGCACTGGCAATTAGAAAGCTCCTGCAGCTGGGAGACTGCAGCTGACAGGGCTCACAGCCATGGTGGAGCCCCATGTGGTCCTGCAGCTGGGAATCCCATCAGCTTGGGCTCCCAGCTGTGGGGTATCCCTGTGGCTGCAAGCCCCATCAGCTGATGTGGCTTCCAGCCACATGCAAGCACCTGGCCATACGTTCAATTAATGACATGATAGGAACCAGCCACAAAGTTGTTATATATTTTTTTTGTGGAAAAATCTTTGTGGCTTATTCCTCATTTTATCGTACCATTAATTAATTGAATGTGTGTCCAGGTCACAACTTAAGACCCAATTAACTGGTTAATCATGTCTTCAGTGTAACCTGCAGCAGGGACCTAAGAATGATATTTGCATTTTTGTAACATCATCACATTTTTTTATCCACATTTAGTTTGTAGTCCATTATAACTCCCTTTCTACAGCATATCTCTCTAGCTAGTTATTCCTCAATTTGGATATCTGCGTTATACCTTTCAGGTATGCTACTTTGCACTTATCTTGAAATTCATCTTGTTGCTTTCAGATCATTTCTCCAGTGTATCAACGTCATCTTGAATTATGTTGCTATACTTCAAATGCCTGCAACTACTACTAAGATGGAGTGGTTCAGAAATTTTTTTGGCATGATTGACAAGAAATTCAGAAAACGAATCAGTAAATTGTGTGGGATTTTCTCTATTCCATAATCCACTAGAGACACAGAGGTCATAAACTGAAGCAAAGATGAACTAGAACTTGTCTGAATATTATCTTTTCTTGCACCAAAGTGAAATAGCTTCTCTAACTTTGGGATGAATCCTCATCTGTACTGCTGATCTCGTCACAGCACAGATTACCAGTACACATACTACAATTTATAGCTGAGACAGAAGTTATATTTGTTTGAAACCAGTAATATGGATTTCTATCATTAGATTTTATCATAGCAATGCATCAACAAATATCTAACATTTTGATCTGCTGAAGAAAATTTTAACATATAGAGTCCTTGGAAAACACTGTGTGGAATGTTAAAGAAAAGCAATATACCATGAAAAACATTAAAATTACAGAAAAATCTGCCCAGCGGAGAAAAAAAGCACAAGTATTATTCTGCTTCCCTTTTGTACTTGTTCATAAAAATTGTTTTTAACTGAGAAATTTATTTTGTGTGATGTCTTCCACTCCTACTCTATCCCGCAGTGAACACCAAACCTGAAAACTTGTTCCAGACCAAATGACTGAAGTCAAAACAAAACAATACTTAATTATGCATTTTTTATATTGCTTTGTGCTGTCATATTGTCTGAGTGCAATACAAAATTAACTCACTGTATGCTCCCTTATGGTATGCAGGTGGGCACATGCAACCCATTGGGGAAATACAGAATTAAAACTGAAATTAAGCTTGGGAACAGGATCCAGTTCTAATTTGAAACTGGTATTTTGGTAAAGAAGGGTAAGAGAGAAAAAATGATATTACATAGGGTAAAATCTGTAAATGAACAATACAAAATAAATCCCCAAATTAATTTTGAATCATTTTGTAGTATTTGGTGCTATGTATGTGACAATTAATGTTTTTACCATAGGCAGGAAAATTCAGTACCAACTTTTAAAAAATGAAATGTAGCATTATTTAATTGCAATTCATCTGGTGGTTTTTGAACCCGAAAGCTTGCTTAATAACTTTTCTCCAACTATTTGGGTTGGTCTAATAAAAGTTATCAAATTCACCCAAGGAACCTTGTCTGCCTATGTCCTTAGACCAACACGGCTACAACCTAAACCCCTGAAAGGGCTAGATACATTTATCCAAAAACAAAAATAAAAACTCCATTTTCTTGCTGTCAGGAAGAAATATCTCATTTGCAAAACTACAGGGCTTCCTAGCAAAGACTGACTGTGTTGCTATTTAATATTTATTTATTTACTTATTTATTTTAAGTGAGACTGGAAAGCCTCATTGAAGACCTTCTTTGGGAGGGGAATAAAGACCTGGAGAAGGATGTCTTATCTGAAAGCTTGTCTAACTCTCTCCCAACCATGCCATGGGTCCAATAAAAGCTGTCACTCAAAGAAATCCTCTCCTGTCATACTTCCCGGACCATCATGGCTATGACATCACTCCACTCATTCACAAACTGCCAGACAGTGGGACCTTGGGTACAGAGGCAGATCCAGAGGGGACGCAGTGGTGCAACTGCGGCCCCCTTTGGTGCCTGCTTTACCCAAACTTGAAAATCAAGTGCCTGGAAAGGACAGCAGCATTTATATTCAGGCAGAGCCGAAAGAGTCAATTGGCAATTGACTTCATGGCTTATTATCTTCTCCTTGATTCCTGTTAACCTCCCTCCACTCCACAGGTGTTAAGAACTCTGTCTGCTTCTCCATGGTCTTGATATTTAATTGCTCAAACTAGCCCTTCTTCTGCATGTTGCTGTCTGACAGCCATTCCTGGTAATGTCACTCTTTCATTTTACAGTCTGCACACTTGAACCCAGTGTGGTAACAGAATCATAGAGAAGCAGGGCTGGAAAGGACCTCCAGAGGTCATCTAGTCCAACCCCCTGCCTGAGGCAGGATCATCCTCATCCAAGCCATCTTATACCATCCCTAATATAACTTCTACATAAGACTGCTGTCAACCCAAACACAACACAGAACTAACACTATCCTCCTTCAGGTAAAGCAGGGGAACCACAGCAGCATATGTCCTGTTTCTGAAATGTTGTCAATATATGCTCATGTTGCCCCCACTACAGAGGAAGCCAGAAAAATACACGTAACTCAGGTGTAGAAATGCCAGATATAGAGAAGTATTGGAGGTACCATCAAGCCACCCAAGAATGCTAGATTTTGCCATTACAAATCCAAATCAGAGGTGTATATTTAACTATCACAACTACAGGACTCGCAACACAATAAACTTTGACTATTTTTTGCCTAGTTGTGTTCTTTTCATTTTTGTTTTAACTTGACATATCCTCTCGCAAACAAGTGGTTACATTTGCTTCTGCTTTGATCTTAAACTAAATAATACATTGCTAGCCTATTAATAATGCTTCTAGTTTCTGACAGCCACTGGTTGGAGATGATCTAGGTGTAGCTATACCTATCTTCTTCCATGAGAATTTCCCATGCTTTTGGGCTTTGCTGGTTGTGCCCCCCTCCACATCCTTTCTTTTCTGCTGTGTGTGTCAGGGTGTTCTGAAGCCTTCCTAGAGGCTTTGGGTGTTGGCTACAGCCAAGGCTGGGGACTTGCTAAAGCTCCTGCTGGGCAAAAAGCCAGGGTCCCGACTAGAGGGCCTTGCGCCGCTGCTCAAGGTCAGACTGATCACCATATTTGGGGTCAGGAAAGAATTTTAACCCATGGTCAGACTGGTATGGACTGTGGACCATACCAGTATTTGCCTTCCTTTGCAGTGAGGAGGAGTGGCCTTCTATCCAGGACCTCTTGAGAATATACTGACAACACTTTATAGAAGCAAGACAGGGACTGCCATAGTTCCTTTGCTTTACTTTATTTAAGTGAGACTGGAAAGCCTCATTGAAACATTTTGCCTTAGGCATTAGGGGGGTTAGGTCTGTGTTGCATTAGGGTTGATGGTTATCTTTGGTAGAGTTAGGTTATGATTTGTAAATAGGGTGACCATATGTCCCTTTTTAGCAGAGGCAGTCCTGGATTGCAGAGGCTGGTCCCAGCTGCTGAGAACTGTAACAGGACACAGTCTGCCCAGGAGCTGTGCAGAGCACCTTGCAGGAGGGCAGGCACTGCTGTCTGCCCTGCACACCTCCCACCCCCACCACTTGTGAGAGCATGGAGGGAGGGGAGGGCAGTGTCTTGGATTTCCATCTGGTCAGCCTGTTTGTAGGGCATGGTTTCAATAGGGCTGGTCAAAGCAGTTCAGGCAGGGGTTGGACTACATCAGTGGTTCTCAACCTGTTTTGTACCAGGACCCGTGTGTATACATCAATGGCCAGTCCCAACCCAGTGCCCCTTGCTCCTGCGCCCTGAGTGTGTGGTGAGGAGGGAGGGATGTGGGGCAGGGGGGCCTTGCAGGCTAGGATTCTGCCATCCTGCAAGGGAAACGCCCGTTTCCCATGTTTTATTCCTTTAAAAGGAGAATCCATCTTCCGCGTTTGTTCCTGACCCTTTCACATATTCTTGCCACCCACTTTCGGGTGGCGACCCCCAGGTTGAGAAACGCTGGGCTAGATGCCCTCTGGAGGTCCCTTCCAGCCTTGCTTCTCTAGAGCTGGACACAAGCACCCGCCACCTGCACCCTGCTCTTCCCAACCCTACATCGGCCCCCGCTTCAGTGCCAGGCTCCTCACCCCCTCGGCCCCCCGC